GGGGGGGGGGGGGTGTAGACCTTACTTCCTACAATATGATATAAATGGCTAATGTTGAGTGATTTGAATTAAAGAAATTCATACTCTGTATTATCAAATTGCACTGCTGGGGTCCTCCTAAATTATGCTTTTTCAAGATCAAGCATCTCCTAAATAGGATATGTGTGCCAAGCTAAATGAATTGACTGCAAATTACTTGCCTTCAAATTTAGAGAGAAGGAAAAAAAGACTACTTAAATGCCAATATTGCAGATCCAGTGCCTGTTGCTAACAAATAAAATTTTGTTGGTATGGAGATACTATTTTTTAATTACATCGAGGTGGAGTGAACTTTATGTCTATGCTACATTGGGTTTTCATAGTGCAGGGTTTGATTTCCATTGAATTTGTAGTGGTTAAATATGAGTGTGAAACGGTTTTGGATTTGAATTAACGTGTACTAAAGACCATCTATTTGAATTTTCAGGTCCTGTTGTCATGGACATGTCAGGCTATTCTGAGAAGGGCTTCAAGAGAAAACTTGCAGTGCAAACTCTATTTGGAAAGGTTTATTATTTGTCAGAGGTAGGATGTTCAACTCTCACTATGGATCTTGGTGGCTACATTTTTAAACTGTTTTTTTCAGAGAATTTTTACATTAACTTAACTCTCCTCTTCCCTAAATGGGAATAACATGCATTTGTCTCCCCATTGGGAGTATGGGTGTATGCAAACCCTAATCATGAAATCTGTGCCTAGTCAACTTTTGGTTTTATCGTCAAGTAATTACTACAAGTGGCGTGAAAATTGTGGTGTGAAATACTTCTGTCAACATATAATTCCATGCCAAAAAATGTGCCATAGTTAGACACCAAATAACTTTCCCGCTGCAACCATTTTTAAGATGGAGTGATTGGATGAAATTCAAAAACCGTCATAGTTTATCTCCACTTGCATGACAAGTTAATAAGACTGCAACAACTATTTAAGAGAACATGTTAAGAATATTTATTGATATTGGGTATGAGTTCTAGATGGGATAATGCTTTTGTATTTATGCAGATAGTAGTTCTCCAGTGCTCCATTTTGTTACAAAGCCTTTATTAGCTCGTAGCAAAACATTAGGCATCATAGTAGACAAAGCAAAACTTGTTTTTAGGATCTACTGATTTCTTGCCTTGGACAGTCATTGATGAGTATTTTTGATGTTTCAACGAATTGCGAAAAATAAGCAACATTTTCTGATTGGTTTTCTTCATTTTTGTCACCAGTTGCCAGAGTTTTGCTCAAGGGATAGCTCCTTAACTGTTAAAGAACTTTTTGGGGTAGCAGAGTAAGTACTTGCATCCATTCCATTTCACCTTAATGATACACTCTTATGCACGTCCACTGATCTCTCTTTGGTTCTCTTTGGTTCCTAGCGAGGATGCCGAAAAGCTTAGACTGCACACTATCCCAGACGCTGGGGACGTGGGATCATTGGAAAAGATGATCGATGGCTCTGATTCGGAAGATTCAACAGATGAGCCTTCTAATGCTTCCTGATTGCTGTAAATATTGTTGCCAGAGAACATTGTGGTTCATGGCAAGTGGTTGGGGTGACGAAGTGATGGAGTGAAGTGTAAACCTCCTCTCTTTTTTTTTTTGAAGGCAACATGAAATTCATTATTAAATGAAAAGATGAGGAGCAAAGTCCATGGGAGATGAAGTCCACAAGGAGGGCTGAGTGCCTGCTCTATGTCCGAGCTTATGAGCGATACAATTAGCTTTCCGAGGAACATGGGAAATCATGAAGGAAAGAAACTCGACTATAATAGCCTTATGGTTTGTTTGGTACACGGAATTAAAAAATTATGGAATTGGAATTGGAGATAATAAATTCAATTTTGTTGTTTGGTAACATAAGAATGTGGATTTGGAATTGGTAGTGCCAAAAATGTATTGAAATTAGAGAATTCACTTTCATCTAAATCAATTCCACAAAATTTCAATTCTCAATTCAATTCTAATTACATCAATTCCGTGTACTAAATGGACCTTTAGGCTCCGTTTGGTACACGGATTCAAATTATGAAATTGGAATTCGCGACAAGAATTTCAATTATGCTATTTGGTAGCACAACAAATATGTGGATTTGGAATTGGTAGTGCCAAAAAAGAATTGAAATTAGAAAATTCAATTCTTTTCAAATCAATTTCATAAAATTTCTTTTAACTTTTAATTCAATTCTGTCAATTTTGTGTACCAAACGGATCCTTAGTCATGCAAACAAAGATCTTCGATAGGAATGAACATGAAAACAACTTTTCAGGCTCACCTCACTGCACTATCCGGTGAAGGAACGTTGCACTCCCACAACGCCTTGTTACAAGCTTTCCAAATTGCCCAATTAGTTCTTTGTATGTGTGTTTGTGAGAAGGTGAAAGTAAATTTGAGGGTTACTCGCTTACCCTTGAGTGGCCAAAATGGGGTCACCTTGGGTGTCCTTAGGTCCGGTTCTTAGATTTTACAAGTCTGTGGAAATGACATGCGAGTATTAAAAATCCAAGTCAAAGTTGAAAGTGCATAGTGTACCGGGACATACCCCTACAATTCAACGGAACAAAAGGTAAATGAGAAAAAAAAACTGCCCATGACAATGGAAAATATATCAACATTTAAAAAGCTTCATTTTCCATGGGATACATTTTATTTTTTGAGGTTTTTTGGGCAATTGTAGAATGGTATACCCCTAACATTATTGAAGTTTTTTCCATAAAAAATAAACATGTGTTGTTTTAAGTTTAAACAACCCCNCCCCCCCCCCCCCAATTGGTAAAAAAAGTATGACATCTCAGTACCGTCCTTTCAGTAAGTTAAAAAGAAGTAAATTAAACTATAATTTTAGTCGCTTGACGTAAAGCAGGAGTTTCGTACCTATAACTTGTAGAAGCCCCAAGTTTTTGCATGGTGGTCCCTCATCGCAACCATCAGACTCTAAACTTGGAATCTTTTCCTTGTAACAGTTTTATGTCAACTGCTGAGCTACATGTCACTTACAATTCAACAAAACAAAAGGTAAATTGCAAAAACATTTGCCCATGACAAAGGAAAATATATCAACATTTAAAAAGTTTCATTTTCCATGGGGTTACATTTTATTTTTCAAGGTTTTTTGGGCAATGGTAGAATGTTGTACCCCTAGCATTATTAAAAAAATTTCCAAAAAAACTAAATTTTAAGTTTAAACACCCCCTTCCCCCAATTGGTAAAAAAGTATGACATCTCAGTACCGTCCTCTCAATAAGCTGAGAAAACTAAATTAAGTTATAATCTTAGTCACTTGGTATAAATGTGAGGTTTCGTTCCTATAACTTGCATAAGCCTCAAGTTTTGCATGGTGACCCCTCAACGTAACCATCAAGCTCCGAACTTGGGATCTTTTCCTTGTAACATTTTTATGCCAACCGCTGAGCTACATCTCACCGACAAAACCACCCTATTGGTGGATTCAATGAAGGACCAAAAGATAGACTTAGGGGTTGCTCTCCGGGTTCCCCATTGGTGGATTCAAATTTAAAAAACCTAAATCACAACCAATTACTTTTCTGTCTCTAATTAGATTAAAATTTTACACTTACGAGGCAAAATACCTCTTATTTTAAAATTAATATATTTAAAAATAGAGGAATTTACCTAAATAATACTAAAACATAGTGACTTTCCTAATGTACTAGCATATATTTTTATTTACCAATGTAGCACCACTGCTCAATGTCCACCGATCATTGTTCAAGTAAATGTCCAGCGCCACTAGACATTGTTCAAACTAAATGTCCACCATCACTGGACATTGTTCCCACAACTAGACATTATTCTAGTACTATTTAGAGAATAAAAAAGTTTAAATATTGCATTGAGAAATGACATCTGTTTTAGTACTTGATGGAAACCGCTTTTTCAGGGCGTCGACCTGACGAACTCGGTACCGGGTCGGCACTGCACCGAATAGCAAAATCTGGAAAATAAATAAATAAATAAATAAAGCGGAGAGAAAGTATTTATACGTGGAAACCCAAATCAGGAGAAAACCACGGACCTTTTTAGGCGTTGCCATGGCAAGGGGAGAAACTTTTATTAATCTCGGGAGAATTTACATATACATCATTGTAGGAGCTTGAAGCAATTAATAGAGCTCCAAACTTAAAGAAGAAGAAGAATGAAAAGTAGTAGTAGACACTTGTAGGAATTTGGCCTCCCTTTCACTCCTTCGTACTCTCTCCTTTCCGAGGAAAATGAATGAGGTAGTGCGAAAAAAAACATTATGTCTAGGTCTCGCCAAATTTATCCTTGTGGCCCTAGGCAATATGTATATATCTCATCAAATTATCTTTTTCGCCTTCATATCTCTGGCTCTGTCTTGAATTATTTATCTGATTTATATCTTGGACCAGATAAAATTGGGTTTTCTTGTACTGTTCAAATAATATGAATTAGGTAAAATCCCTAATCCATCAGTACTATTTAGTCTAAATTCCACTTAAAAATTAAGTGATGGATTCTAAAAATGGGGGTAGCATATACCTTGTCAATGAGGCTCATGGAGTCATGGGCTCCCTTAATTACATTTGTCGTGTTCTTATGACACATCACCTTCATCCTAGTGTCCTTTAACCGTGCCCAATGACAGGTGACGTTCCTTGGCTTTGGTTACTGACCCCTGTGATTTCCGAGGGGCTGACTTCTCATCTAGGCATTAGATGCTTGGGGAGCCCTGTAGGTCGAGCTTAACGCCAATCTCTTTGGTTGATCGGGTGGGGCGAAGGCGTACGCCCAACAAGACAAGGTCAGGCCGAGGGGGATCAAAACCGGACCGAGCGCGACAATTTCCTGTGGTGGCCGAGCTCATCCTTATAGGGGGCGAAGCCCATATCTCCATTAATAAGTACTAGTATATAAGAATAATTAATAAAATTTACATATTAAAAGAATATATCAAAGAATATTTTATTTTATAAAAAAATTAACAAAATTTACTCAAAACTCTCCTTAAGAAAGTGAAATTCTTTTGAACTCTTCGCCTGCATGTTGATTGATGTGTACTCTACATTTTAGTCGTTAGCAGGCGGAGAAATCCATGGGGATTGGGGTTGTAAATGTTCTGCTGGTACTTTTACAGTCGACTGAATTTCAATCGTTGAATCGATTCGCCCGAAGAACAAGAAGGAAATGATTCAACAATGTCGTTTCTCCAGAATTCCGACCTATCCTCCTCTCTTCAGCAACGGTTCCAGCAGCGGCAATCAAAGTCTCTGCAATTCGCCTTCTTCTTTTTCTTGTTTAAGACCCAGATCTACTAGTGGAGGAGTGGCAATCAGCCGTGAATCGACGGATGATGACAAGAGGGAGGCAAAATCGCAGCCCTATCCCGGCGGAATGGGGCCGTTTACCGGAAGAGATCCGAGTGTCAAGAAGCCGGAATGGCTGCGGCAGAAGGCTCCGCAGGGGGAGAAGTATCGGGAGGTGAAGGAGACGTTGTCTGGGCTCAAATTGCACACCGTGTGCGAGGAAGCGCAGTGCCCTAACATCGGCGAGTGCTGGAATGGAGGCGGAGACGGCATTGCCACGGCCACCATCATGCTCCTGGGCGACACCTGCACCCGCGGCTGCAGATTCTGCGCGGTGAAGACCAGCCGCAACCCTGCTCCTCCAGATCCATTGGAGCCTTTACGCACTGCACAAGCTGTTGCCAGCTGGGGGTAAGGGGTGCCCCATTTTCGCTTTCTTCAACTCTACCGAAATCATACCCATTTTTTACTCTACTCATTTGAAGTATGAAATTTGGATTGATGATGCAAAGGATATTGAAATTGATTGCTCCTTCCTGTTAGCGGACAGCTTAGGCAATACGGAGTAATCCTTAAATTTGTAGGTTTAGGACTCATTGAATCTTGGATAAACACGACTACATGTTGTCAGATATTTGGCTTTATTGTGCCTTGTAAAAGGAGCCTTGATTGGAATATTACATACATTATCATAACTCGTGATTTCATCTTGCAGTGTGGACTATATTGTTTTAACCAGTGTAGATCGAGATGATTTGCCCGATGGTGGGAGTGGCCACTTTGCTGAAACTGTTGGGGCCTTGAAGGTAAACACTTGTGCCTATATATCATGAACAAATTTTTTCACTTGCATGGGAAGATGCAAATGTACAGCTTTATGGAAATGATTGTATGCCTGTATAAGCAGTATATGTAAAACTGGTCTCATGGGTAGTGTATGTGACATTTCTTGTTCTTTTGACAGATTCTTAAGCCTGACATTATGGTTGAGTGCTTAACGTCTGATTTTCGAGGGGACCTGAAAGCGGTAGAGACTCTAGTTAACTCTGGATTGGATGTTTTTGCACACAACATTGAGACTGTGAAACGACTTCAACGTATAGTCAGAGATCCGAGGGCTGGGTAAGCATGTGAAAATTTTCCCTTCCTCAAACTCTGTCAATGGTTGTGGGTGTTTGGCATGTATTTGCTATGTTTTGTTTTCTTTCCAAGAAGAATGCATTTTCGGAAAGTAACCATTATTTGGTGATTCTAATTTGCTTCCCACAGAAGAAGCGAAAACAGACTAAATGTGTTACACTGTTACCATCATTGCACTCAAGGTGTAAAAGTGATGCATTTTGAGTGCTTTTCATAGTGGCATATATAAGTTTCAGCATATTGTTCTTTTATTATTGAAAACATCTTAATTTGATCAACTCTACTGATGAAATCAATTTATGAATGCGCAGCATTATACCTTGACCTTCTATAACATCATCTAAGGAAACTGTCCCACAATCCATGCATGACGACACTGTACTTAGTGTTCATTTTCTGAATAATAAATTTGGAATATGACGTGGAAGTAAACGTTGATGCAAAAATAGCTGAGAAGGACATGGTCCACCCTATTTCTAGTGTTCATTTTCTGAATAATAACTCTGGAATATGACGTGGAAGTAAACGATGATGCAAAAATGGCTGAGAAGGACATGGTCCACCCTATTTCTGTGATTCTTTAATAGAGCTAGACTCGTACTGGAATAGCAATAAACTCCATGGTCAATTTGGATTTTTTGGTGTGGGTCAAGTGAAAAGAAGAGGTCCAGAGACTCAAAACATAAGAAAACACTTAATCATTTAACCTGAGTAGAAATAGTTTCTGCCACAAAGGAAGATACCCTGGCCTACATCTACTTTCCCAACCTATATTTCTCTCATTACTTTCCCCGATAAAGTTTTGGGGACATTTTATGGTCCCTTATTGGAACTAAATTAGGCTAGCTAACCTTTTGTTATAACTGATTTTAGACTTGCTGGGTCAGACACTGTTGCAAGCACACTAGTGACTAGTGAGGATAAAAGAAGATATAGAAGATGCTAGCCTTCCTTGCCAATGGCTGGATGGAGGGGAGAGAGTTTTGACTTCAACCCTAATTTTTTAATAGAACTGTTGAGTATATGTAAAAGATTTTGGCAAGGCCTTACATTAGACCTACAATAATAATACTAGGAAACTAAGCAAAAGAATATCTTAAGAACATTATATTCTTAACTAAAATAGAATAAAACTACTAATAGGAAACTATGACTAGTTAATAATAACAACAACAAGGTTATGTTGACACCCATTTTGGGTGTCATATTATGACACTGGTCAAATTGAGTCACCTACGGTAATCCGTTCAAAGATTGATGGTTCCTATCCCCCATAACCACCCAGAAACCCCCACCCCGACCCGACCCGACCCGAACTCATTCCGAGTTCCCCACCCATGTCAATCGAGCCTCCCAATTTTAGTTGACTTGGGGGGCTCAATTGATTGGGGTAGGGGGGGGTTCAGGTCGAGCCGGGTGAGGGGTTAGGGGGATTTAATTGTTCCTGTCAGGCTTCTGCATCACCGACTCACCGTCTCACCAGAGTGTAATTTGATTAGTTACTCCAATAATAATCCTGTGATAGGTAATAAAAGTGAGGGTTTTAACTCTATACTAGATAATGAAAGACTTTTGAGTATGTAATATCCTGAGCATATATGTAGTCTGTCCTGTAGGGCGGATAAGCCAAAGGCTTGGGGTTGGAATATATCTCTAAATGCATTGGCAGGCTGATAACAACTTGGAACTAACAACACCATCCCAGTATAATTCCACGAAAGTAGGGTCTGGGGAGGGTGTGGCACGTACAGAGATTCGTTTCACATAGTGAAACTAAGGGATGTACGCTCTGCTCTCTCGCGACGCAGGCCCCTACTGAAGAATCGCTCTTCTTGGCTCGCCAAACTACAGCGAGAGTTTTTCCGGCCAGGCCGAGTCAGAAGGGCTTTGATGACTCAAGGTTCATATTAGGGAAAGGAGAGTGAGGGGACAAAGTGATTCTGCGCTTTCGTTTCACAAGATGAGTGAAACTATGTTCAACGAATCATCTGGGCTTGTAGTTGAACTTGGTCTTCTTTGACCCGGGAATAGTTGATTCAGCTTTCTGTTGTTCAAATGATAGGGTTTTAGTAGGCATAGAGTAGAAGAAACTGATCGATTGAGAAAACATTTTCAGAAAGAGGAAGACAGAAGCAGGAGTCCCTGGTGGGGCATCCAGGACATACCAGGGTGAAATCCGAAATCGGAGTAGTTCAAATCAAAGAGTTCAAGATATGCAGATGTCTAATGGAAAAGGCATCACTATACTGGTTTAGGGTTGCACACATCTTCCCAAACCCCAAGAAGTTGGGATTATATTGTTGTACTATTTCTATCATTTTTGTGACATACTGGCTTCAACTATTGTGAAGATATTTGCACTTTCAGTATCCTTAATGAATTGGAGGAACTAGTAAGCTTGATTGACTGATATCGTGTTTTCACTAACATGTATGAAACCAGCTTAGCATTACCTTCCCAAACCTATCAAGTTATTGAATGCTTTATGCTCTTAATGGGATTGTGCAGGTACGAACAGAGCATGTCTGTCCTTAAACACGCAAAGCTTTCCAAGGAAGGAATGGTAACCAAAACTTCTATTATGCTGGGACTGGGTGAAACTGATTCTGAGATCAAGGAAGCCATGTCTGATTTACGGGCCATAGATGTTGACATTTTGACATTTGGACAGTACTTACAGGTAAACCTATCTGCACTCTGACTATCGACTAGACAAACTTTACTGTGAATGTCAGTTGCCATGTCATATGCCTTATTGTCGATGCATCGCCCAAGCCATAGGTCAATGTGTTTCTCCCAACCATATACTCACTTTTGCTTGTCATCTCCAAGTTGACACTTGATAGTGCAATGTGGCATTATTGTTTCAGTGATATGAAAATAAGTGTCTGTTCATTTGATTTAATACTGGCATTCTCTAAAAACTACTCGTTAAAACAAGACCGAAAATATGGCATTTTAAAATTATACCACCTGCTTAGTCGAAAACTAAAGGAATCACAATTTGTTATAGCTGTCCGTGCAAATAGCTTTACCCATCAATACTAATCTGTAGTTACTCTTCTTGCAGCCAACTCCATTGCACCTCACCGTAAAAGAGTTTGTTACTCCTCAGAAGTTCGAATTCTGGAAAAACTATGGGGAATCTATTGGATTCCGATATGTTGCCAGTGGGCCTCTGGTACGTTTTTTTCTTAAGTTTGTTGTCGTTTAAAGTCAATTTTTTGTCATTTTTCACATTTCTATGTGAACTACTAAAGCCTTCTGGCTTACTACTGCTACTTTTTAATTTCAATGTGAAAAATGTAGTATAGTATATTGATTTAAATTCCCAACATGCTCTCAGGTTCGATCTTCCTATCGTGCGGGCGAACTTTATGTCCAGAACCTGGTGAAAGAACGAATCAAACAAACAACTGCCGTGTGAAAGTACGATGAGACATTGAAGTGTGGTTTGGTTTATGGTTTCATTCTCTTGTAGGCTTAGTTTGGTTGAGTTGTTTGTAGCTATTGTTATTATTTATTTTTTGACAAGATTGTCACTTGAAAAATCTCGTTCTCCAATCATTTTTTGGGAAGAAAATCATCAATAAAATTCTCATAATTACTTTCATCCAAAATTTCTTTTCTGATGGATCCCAAAGTTTGGCCATTGAGTTCTTCTCGTGACATTTAACAACTACACAAGTACGGAGTAATACTTAGGTAGCTTCAACTTATTCTAATTGCTTATTACTTAATACTAAATTTTCACATTGAAAAACTCATTTTGATTGTTGCAAATGTTATAGGAATGGATAGCAATATCTTATTCGAAATGATGACATTAGAAAACTAGCAAGATATTTCATACAATGAAATATATCAAGAGCTTTCTAATTTTCTATTGGTAAAAACTCATGTACTAGTAATAACTTAAATTCTCCACAAATAAGCTATAATCATGAAGATCACATCTATTACTCTTCTTTTTAATACATCCTTAATAACTCCAACATGATTTAAATCAATCACATTTTCATGTTAGTATTGTTCAAACATCATTTCAATTAAGACAATTGACTTTATCAATAATTATATTAGTACTCCGTAATCGGTTAGGTTTTGTTGACCCTAGAGTTACAGTGACATCAAACGACATTGCTCATTTAGAGCGCCTACAATATCCTATTCGACTTTGAAGTGGTTCTTACCTTTCTGGAAATTCGTTAGCAACACTTTAATAAAGAAAACATTGATGAGATTGAAGTTGATTCTACTACCATGATACCATCTGAGATTCACCTTGACAAGTGTGATGAAGAAGTCGATGCTATGACTGATTTGTAGGCTCGAAAAAAACAAAAAGATAAAACATCTTCCTGAAGTTCTCAAACCTAAGAAGAAAACATCATTGAATAAGATCATATCTGATTTCAATGACTATTTGATGGTGGAAAGGAAAGTCTGGGCTTCCTCTAGCTAAAACAGACTTAATATTGGTAGAGAAAAAATAAATTAATCCCCAACAAATTTTAGCAGAGTTGAAGATATTGAACTAGACGGCGTGTAGGCGATCAAGACTGTGGATTTGATGATGCAAGATCGCATATTATTCGATACATTTGTGGGAATATCAACAAAGTTGAAATAAAAGTGACAGAAAATGTAACTTGAGAAATAAAGTTGACAGTTGGTTTTAGCATACAATTTTTAGATTATCTTTGATGATGATAATCTAAATTTGTTATTTTTGATCCATGAAAGTTTGAACCTGAAGAATGCTAGCTTTGATGATGATAATCATCAACATATGGTTATTTTAAAAATGAAGACAACCAAAATTCTAAATCAATGTCAATTTTTGAGTTATCAAATAAATGATTTGGAATCATAATATAATCTCATATCAATTCTAAATATAAATTTATGTTATCAATAATACGATTCTATATCAATTCTTTAATTATGCTTGATACAGAACTAAATAAAGAATTTGGGATCGAATTAGAATTCAATTCCATCAAGTTCATGTATTTAGGATTTCAATTTCAATTCTGTATATGAAGCAGATCCTAATACGTTTGGACGGATAGTCTTATCTATACTCCTTAAAGAATGAACTATTCTACGGGTTATTCAATTGTGTTGGTAAAGTTAACTTACAATTTTTTCAAATTTCTTTTAATTTCTTCCAATAATGTCTAAAAAACTATTTACATATGATGTATATACAATAATATCATATCTCCAAATCTATAACATACTATCTCAAACACAGACAAAAATGAATATTTTATCCAAAATTAGTTTTTTTTTACATATTTATATGTGTGATTATTTGATTGAGTAAGTTCTTTTAGCTCTTTATTCTTTCCCATATTTTCAACTCTTTTTAATTTTTTCTAATCCTTTCTGATGGATTAGGGATTTTTCCTAATCCAATATTATTTGAACAGTACAAGAAAGCCCAATTTTATCTGGTCCAAGATATAAATCAGATAAATTATTCAAGACAGAACCAGAGATATATGGACAAAAGAATATATTTGAAGTGATGTGGAGACATTTGGCGGGACCCGTGGAACACTATCACATGGAAACCGCATGCCGCACATGGGCTTCACATGGACAATGCCCCCTCTTGTCTCCATCAATTATTTCCTTCTCCCCTTTAAATGCAGGCTACGAAGGAGGGAGGAAGGAGGCCAGATTCCTACAACATGTTCCTACTATTCTTCATGCTTCTTCTTCTTTTAGCTTGGAGCTCCATTAATGGCTCCAAGCTCCTACAATGATGTATATGTAAATTCCCTCGAGATTAATAAAAGTTCCTCCTCCTTTGGCATGGCACCGCCAAAAACACCCGTGGTTTTCTCCCGATTTGGGTTTCCACGTATAAATACTTTCTCTCCGCTTTATTTATTTACTTAATTTACGGATTTCGCTATTCGGTGCGGTGCCGACCCGGTACCGATTTCATCGGGTCGACGCCCCGAAAAAGCGGTTTCCATCACTGGCGCCGACCGTGGGACCGGTCACAAAAACCTTTTATACTCCGAGTCCGTAATGGAGGAAAAAAGTGGAAGAGAAGGTAAAATAAAGAGCAAAAAAGGGGATGAGAACGAAAAAAGAGGGAGAAGGAGTGGAAGAGAGTTAAAAGTCAATAAAAAAGAGAAGAGTGGTTTCCTGCTTTGGTGGCTTTCCATAGATAAAATCCAGCGGCCTTTCTCCTCCGTCGAACAGCGGCAAGCTCTGCCAGGCCTTGGGCGAGCCACGGACGGCAGTGGCCGGCCTCCGATGAACTCCTCCTTCCTCATGCAAGCCACACATTCCATCGGCGGGCCTCTGGTGAACTCCTTCCTCGGGCGAGCCACGGACAACGGCGGCGGCCCTCCGATGAGCTCCCACTTATTCTGGCGAGCCACGGACGGCAGCCGCGGGTCTCCGAGGAACTCCTTCCTTCGGTGAGCTGCGGATTGCGGGGAACTTTTCGGCGAGCAGTGAGCACGCGGTAGGGCCACCGGCAGTACCCTCCACCAGGGTCAGTGAGTATCCTCCCAGACCGGCGAGCCCTCTAGCGTGCTTCATCTCTGGCGGTATCTAACGGCGAGCCACACCACTAGCAATTTTCCACTCCGGCGAACCTTGGCCCGGAAGAAGCAAGCTCCCACTTCCTCCGGCGATCCACGGATAGCAGCGGCGGCCTTACGACGAGCTCCCACTTTTTCCGGCGAGCCGCGGATGGCAGCGGCTGCGATTGCTCTTGTTCGTCCATCAAGCTCCCTTTGCTCCGGCGAGCCTCATCAACAACAAGCGGGCCTTTATCTTCGACGAGATCCAGTGAGCTCCAATTTCCTCCGCCGAACCATGGACGGAAAAGGCGGGCCCCTCTCCGCGGTCCTCTGATCTCCGGTGGTCCTTTCCGCGGTCCTCTCCGGCGGTCCTTTCCGCGGTCCTCTCCGGTGGTCCTCTCCGCGGTCCTTTCCGACGGTCCTCTCCGTGGTCCTCTCCATCAGTCCTTTACGCGGTCCTCTTTAGCAAGCCATGGATGGATTTATCCTCAAAAGGACCGCTCCAGCTTTAGAGGTCCCAAAAGTGGACTGCTCTATCTTCATAGGTCCTTCACATGGACAGATTTGGCCTCCAGTGGACCGCTCCAACTTCATGAGTCCCTCAGATGGATAGATTTGGCCTCTAGTTGACCGCTCTATCTTCATAGGTCCTTCACATGGACAGATTTGGCCTCCAATGGACCGCTCTATCTTCATAGGTCCTTCACATGGACAGGTTTGGCCTCCAGTGGACCGCTCTATCTTCATGGGTCCCTCAAATGGACAGATTTTGCCTCTAGTGGACCGCTCCATCTTCATAGGTCCTTCACATGGACGGATTTGGCCTC